TCATGGTATTTGAGCATGACAGGAACTTATATTTGGTACAAAACCGATTTCGAGTTAAATTAAAAAAAAAAAATATTAAATTAAAAAAAAAAGTTTTTTTAGACAATTAAATTATTGCATTAATATTTGTTCGTTAATAAAACCAATATAATGTACCAAAAATGTAAGTATATCACTTTAACTAAGCCATTTATGTGTACTGAATGGTGTGGTAGAGGCCTGTAAGCACCCACGCCAGTACCGCTTTTCTGCCGCATAAGTGCATTTTCTACGGAACTGCTTAAAAGTTTTTTAAAAATAATCAGCGTTTTGGAAAGAGAAATATATTCTCCAGATGGTTTATTTCAGCACGTTTTGCGTTATTGTAGGCCGTTTAATTACAAATGACGCTTGATTTTTAACTTGAAAATTTTTTTGTTAAAAAAATTGACTTTAGTGGTGTTTTTCATAGCCTAAGCCAATTATTTTTTAATATTTCTTCATGGTTTATTATTCTATGACTATTCAGCTTTAATAAAAGACCAACTATGAGGAAATTAAGCCAAATGCTGATTCTCAGTGACCAAAAAACTAACTAAAGTCAAAGTCGTCAATCCGCCATGTTTGGACGCCATTTTGGGGCAGTGCGTTCACTTTTTTTTGTGGGAACATTGGCTTTTTTTTAATAAATAGTCACAAGGAACACAACGATATGCAATTTATAGGGATGTGGGGGAGGGGATGCACGGTAAGGGGGTCTGGCCCACAGACTATTATAGTCCGGGATCTACCGAAGATTTAATCACGTGATCAGCGGTAGAAGGTTTCAAAAGTATTGGAAATCACGTGAAATCAGTAGTGATGCTGCCAATAACCTAATGCCAAAAACCCTCGAGACAGTCGGCTATCTGGAAGCATTTGGCTGGCGTAGAAAGCCAGACAAAATTTTGGAAACTTTATGCGAATCTAGCAGCTTTAAAAATCTTAAAAAGTCTCAGATATTACGTGATCAGCAGCAGGAAATGTCAGATTTTATCAAATTAGTCACCTACCAAATGGTCTTAAACTATTCCAACCGTTTTTTGCCTTGATCGCATCTTTTTTGGTACATTTTTCAAATTTTAATCTCAGATTCGTGGAAAGCTTTAAAAAAATTTATTCAGATTTTATAAAATTACTGTGTTCTGAAAGTATTCTAACCGATTTTTTCTTGCTGCTGATCACGTAATTTCTGGGACTTTTTGAGATTTTTAAAGCTGTCAGATTCGTGTCGATAAAAAGTCCCAAAGAATCCCGCGTCTGATTTTAATGGGGAGGAGGATGTTTTAATTTAAGCCAACCACTTTTTATGTTGAATAAAAAGCAATAACTAAAAAAATGTTTAATTTAGGTTACAACCAATTACATCATAATAAACTTGATAAAATTTATAATAAGCACAAGTAAATATTGTCTTTTTAAAACCATTTAAAGAGAACTTTTAAGCTGTTTAACTACGGTAAGTTTTTATTTATTTTATTTTTTATAACCCTCCTATATAATCGGTCTGAAGATATCACACTATCGTAAAACCTTTCTTGTTCGATGAGCCCTTAAGTCTGTATTAATGAAGTTGAGTTTAAATTTTCTCTAATTGAGTAACACATTATTAGTACGGTAAAATTAAGAATCGACCCAATTTTTTTAATATCTTTTTACTCCATTAGGGATGAATTTCAACTCTGTAATATACCACAACATAATTAATATAGACTTAAAGCTTATCAAACAAGCAAGTTTATCTGAAAGTGTGGTATCTTCAGTCCAGTTGCTATCTTTTAAAAAAATAGGAAAGAATTCTTGATTTTATAAGAAACCGAACTTACTGTAGTTTAACTGCTTAAAAGTCTCCTTTAAATGGCTTAAAAAAAAAACAAAAAATGCAAGATTTACTTGAATTTAATGTAAATTTAATCTAGTTCACTATGAAGTAATTGGTTGTAACCTAAATTAATATTTTTTTTTAGTAATTACGTTTTATTCAACATAAAACGTGTTTGGACTGAAAATTACAAAATTCAAGATTCCTGGTTCTCTGTATGTAATCAGACAATGTTTTATGTTAACTTTTAATAAGTTTTAATGACTTCCATCATATATTATCAATTATATCAAATCTAAACTTCATATCATTATCACGAAATTCCCCAGTGATATACTATAGAATACAATTTTGTTGTCAATGACTTTTTAGATTCATTAAAAGAAAGAAACTTTGAATAATAATTTTAACGATAGAAATATAAAAAAAACAACAACTAATTTAACTTCAAAAAAGTATCGCATATTATGAACATCAATTTTGTGGTTGGAGCAATTTTTGCTTAAAGTGGAAATACAATAAATATAATCTCATAAATATCTCCACAACCATTGATTTCATAAAAAAAAAATTATAGAATCATTTTTATAGAGATTTTAAAGTTCTTTACTGTTCTACTGAACAGTCTTTACGAAAAAACTTTTATTTTTTCAGATATTCTTAAAAAACTAAATAAATATCACTTATCTCTCCCTTCTCCCTCTCCCCCATCAAAATCTGATAAGGGTGTTTTTGTGATACTTTTTACCAGTTAATATGGGAAGGGTAATAAACAATATCTGACAAGTTTCATCTTTATTTTTTTAATGTTTGGGTTAGGCTGTTTCCCCCTTAACTTAACTGGACTATTAGTGTCACTGAACATTTTTTTTTTAAATCTGTGATGTTGCCTCCCCTTGTAATTTTCTTTAACAAAAAATTTATTTATAGGGAAATATGTCTTATTATTTACATAGTTTTAACTGTATCAAATTTGAGATAGGAGCGAAAAATATTTCATAGTAATTAGTAAATTTTTAATTAATACTATTTGGCTCAAAATACATAATCAGAATTAGTAGTAGTAAATAATTATACATTGAGTATATAGTATATTAAATATTCATATATTTTTGTTCATGCACTGATCGAAGGTTGCTCAAAAAACAATTTATCTGTTCTTAAAAGGTATATTTTACTCAATTATTTACAAGACATTTTAGTTTTAAAATAATTTACAAGGTAAATACATATACTTAGGTAATGTATTTATGAAAAAAAAAATATATATATACATACAAATTTTGGAACTAAATAGTTGCCATTGGCACAATAATAGACATTGTATGAGCAATCATACTTTCAGGAAAATTCATATAAACACACACTCTGTATAATATTTATTCACAAAATATACTCATACATACACAAATAGCAAATGTTTCCAGGTAATCACGGTTTTTAACACAATATAGCTAGTTACAAAAGTTGTCTTTGACTGAGTAACTAGATCACCAATTTTTTTTTATGAATCTTAGAAAAGGAAAAAAATCATCGAGAGAATCCATATTAACAAAACTAATCAATTAAAGCATATAAGATCAATAGAATTGATTTTAATCACATAAAGTAAAATAATAAAAGAAATGATATAATGTTTATATACATTCTAACACCATCTAGCTCAGGCTTTGATATAAGTGAGTTAAGTAGCAACTAGATAATTCAAGCCCAATCCATTGGTAATCATAAATATGTCAAATATATGTTCTCAACACTTTTTGAGTTTCAAATATGCTATAACTTATATGATGAAGAACCATAAGTAAAGAAATTGAGCAGTTTCTTCTAAGCTCTGGTAAAGTTGTGAGTATTGAGTGAGGTGGTTATAATCTGGATAATGATGTATAATACCACAGAAAATAGAAAGCTGTTGCTGCAAACTCGTATGAAAGGTTTTATTTATTGAAATGCTTATGAAAAATAATCCACCTTTGCAACTTCTAAACTCGTTTATTATTCATTAGGTCTTTTTGTAATAAAACAAGAAATTTTAGATCAGATTTACCTGGAAACAATCTGCTAATTCAGAATTCCTCATTTAAATTAGTCATAATAAAAAATAAAATAAATAAATGAGCTGGATTTTATATGATGAAAGGAGTTAAATATAAATTAATACAAAAGTTTATAAATAGAACAAAGATGTGTGTACGCACACAAATCTATTTTTATTTATTATTTGGTCTGTTTATGTATTGCAAAAAATCATTCAGTAATATTTAATGAAGTACTTGTATTTTCTCTGTTTGAAATAGAAAAATTATGCACTTAATATAAGTATTGATAAATTAAAGGTTTTAATTCATTTTGTTGCACTTTACGTGTTTTTGATGTATAAATAAATTCTAAATACACAAAAATGTACTTAAAAAAACTGTACTCCCCTTAAAAATGCTTTTAGTAATTTTTTGCAATAAACTGATGATTAATAATTCTAGTGAAATAAAAACATCAAATATTATAGTTGAAATCTACATTCATTTTTTTAATTATATATATTCTACTGTAAATTAATCACTAACTATTAATACTTGAAGACACAATTAAGAATGTTATTAATGCATAATGATAAAAATATTATAATGATCGCAATTTAAATGAGAAAGTCTAAAAAAAAGAAGGAAAAAAAAAAACCAAAAAAAGATAGTGTGTCACAGCCTCTTTGAAAATATTTTTAATAATTGGTACTGGTCTCTAACATTGAATATTTATTAAACATTTTTACAGGCACTACCATATGTTTGGACAGTTTATTTGCATTTCATGGCAAAATGTTTGAGTTTGATAAAAACTAGGATATTAAAAAAGATAAGCATCCTTGAGAAACTTTAGTAAAAAAATTGTTTTAAGTTTGTTTATAAAACTAATGCATCAAAACCAGCACCTAAATGAGTATAATGAATTATTAATTATTTAACAAGAATATTATTTATCATATCACAGGCATCAGAGTTCGATTAAAAAAAAAGAAAAAAGAAAATCAATAACATTAAATTACAGCAGTAGCTTTGGAAAATAAACTGAATATTAAATCAAGTTCTAAATAATAATATGTACATATAATCAATGATAAACTTACATTATTCTCTTATTTTATTCTTTTTACATAATTTGTTCTTTATTGTAGAGTATCTCTTTTCAAGAGAAAAATAATATAGAAACCTAATATTAAACATGAATAATTTAATGAATACAGTAGTAATTCCATGTAATCTTATTTAACTAGCTATACAAGATCTTATTAAAAATATATGTACAATATAGTCATAGAAGTGACTATATTGTATAGATATTTTTCTAATAAATAAAAATAATACTTTACAAAATTTCAATATTTCTTGGTTTACTTTGTGATTGGCAGTATCACGTATGAAACCATTGGTAATATATGTATGAAAACAAAATGTGATAAAATATAGTAGACTGAAATCACTGTCAGCCACTTATTATAGTTCAAATAATAAAAATTGAAAAATACTAAGTATCAAATCAAATTACTTGATACAATATATAGTATTACTGATTCAAAAATTAATTTAAGTTACCTAAACATCAGAACAAGATCGGTTTCTAAAACTTTTAATAGTTTAATGTGAATATAAAACAAATTATAATTTATTAAGGAAGTCAACCAAAAGTTTTGGTTAACCAGATCATGTTAACCAGATCAGACCACAAACATGTTATCATTAGAAAAATTGGTTATGTTTTGTGGTTTAAAATTATATAATACATATATCAATAATATGCATTAATTATACACTTCAAATGATGAATATACTCATAATGTTCATTTAATAGTCACAAAACGACGGAATAACCTTATCATTAAGGAAATAAAGAATAACAAATACAACACCTGCCTGACTATTCACAGATAATAAACAATAAGTACTATGACTTCTATTTTAAAGAAGTTACACCTGAAATTGATAATTAGAAGAAATATTGAAAAGTATCCAATTGTCCAGAGAATGCATTATCCCTTTATGTGACAAAAACACCTTGGTGCATTAAGATTACTTCTAAAAAACGGTACTGACTATAACTTTGGAATTTTTTTCTCAAGTTTGTAAAATCTTAACAGTTTTTTAGATATGCCCAGCTATTTTTTTTTTATTCTTTATAAAGAGTGATGGAAATCTAGTAAAAACTCAACATATCAACCTAAGAACATCTATAAGAAAGATTATGATTGACGTTTGTTAATCAATGTAAACCTACAGTCATAATTTTATGAAACAACACAATGGATTGTCAAACAGCTCAAAGTTTATTCAGCTGACTCAAATAAAGTTACAGTATTCAAAGTTGAAAATTTATGTTTCAGATTTCTCTTTAATATTTATTCGTTATTAATAATTTATCTTTTGTAATTTTTAAAATAATATTTACATATATTAGAAAATGTTTTATTACAAGGATCAATTTAATTTAGAATAATAATTCAGCTATCTAATTATTGTAGTCAATAATAAAAATGTCAGAGAAAAGACATTATTATATTCTTTGCTCTAGTCAGAAGCAGCGTCATTCAAATCTGGCCTGTAAATTTTATTATAAAATAGATTAGTAACTTATAGTGAACTCACTTTTCCTGTCCTTGTCGGAATGACATGTGAGTTTCAAACTACAAAAAACTGACACAATTAGTATTAGTATAACAAGGTAATATTATTTATTTGTAACATTACAAATGACGCAAAATATACTCTTTCCAAAGACTCAATTAGTTAACGGGGGCAGGAGTATAAATAGAGAATTTAGGCATAAAATTAAGCATTGCAATAGGAAACAATCCGTCGTATTTCAGGCAGAAGTGTTATCCATATTGTCAGTCACAAAGCCATTGGCTGTGACAAAGCCGGTGCAACTATCTATTCTGGTAGCTGGTCGGCTTCTAAAGCCTTATGGTATATAACCATATTAGGTATCTCTATGAGATACCAACACAGAGAAATCCTTGACTGGGAATAGAAGGAAGCTGGAAAGAAGTGGAAGGATTGTGTGGGCCTAAGGCAACCTAAACAATTTAATAAATAACCCTCACTCTCTAGAACTAAATCTCTAAACAAGAACGAATTTTGATAAACTATCAGAGCACTGACGGGAGATGGAGGAAAAAATAGTCTCCGTAGGTACATCAAATTCGGGATTGGCAAAAAGGACCGAGGACCCACTTGCCGCATTCATTCCCTTCCCTCCCCACCAGTACCAGTACCCTTTCAAACATGTAATATTAAGATTTTTTTTTATAACAAGATTTCAAATAATGTCATACTGTAATAAAGCCATACCTCGATATATACACTAACATATATATGTAAATGAAAACTTAAAATAATTGGAAATTTATTAAAGGCAAGAATCTTAATAAACTGCTTAGAAAACCGAGAACTTAAAGAGAAAATTGTGAGAAGCTCTTAAAAATGAAAATATAGCTGAAAATTATAAAAAAAAAAAAAAAAAAAAAAAAAGGACATTAACTTTAAGTTTAGAGAAGTAGAATCATATGAATGGAGACTGAAGGTGAAATGTATGAAAACAGAGCTCCTATGTACTTCTATAGATGTAAACATTGAATAAAAAAATAAAATAAATAAAAAAAGGAAAAGAAATATATATATATATATATATATATATATATATATATATATATACTCATAAAATGTTTAACAGTTGGGCCAAACATGAATAGTGAAGACACTTCCACTATTGATAAAAATCACCAATATTACCCAACTCCCATCTCTTTGAATTTAACAATATTCCCAGTAAAAAAACAAACTAAAATATAAATTTTGTATTTATATTTCAGACAATCATCAAATACACCTACCAATCTGGACTATTAATGCTAGAGATCATTAGTTCCTGAAAGGCACTTATGGAGAAAGAAAAAAAGAAAATCAAGACAGAAAATAATTAGAAATGAAACAGAACTTATGGAGATGAATAGAGACATCTTCACGAAACAAAAAAAATTTGGTTTAGTCAAGATGAAAGGATGAGATCTGAAAGACTAAGGCTACCTAAATTATTTAAGAGAGAAGGAAAAAAGAACAAGAATGAGGTGGAAAGAGAAGAGGACAACAGCTGGACAGGAATGGATAAATGGGGAACTAACTTTTGATAGACAGTTCATTCTAATCTGAATTATTTCTCTTTTCATCTATTATTATCCACTTTCATCTACATAATAATATATTTTTACTTACTTATTTTACTGTAACTTTCTAACGAATAATGTTACCATTATCATTAATAGTTCTATAATTAACAAATTTTTGTAACCTATGAGACAGTCTATCTATAAGATTTGGGCAAAATATTATTTTGAATAAATTCACCTGGATTGATCACAAGCAAACAACTTACTTAGCATTCTAATAGACATTTGTTAAATGCAAGACCTTGTCAGTCAACTATATTTAAATAATATGGATAAAGATGAACAAAAACTATCACTGGGAAAATTCACAAAATGATTTTGACATTCAAAGAATATCTGGTATGTCAGAATATATATTTACTACATGCCATAGACAAACATTAAATAAAGCATATAGATTTTTTTTTTTTAAAAGATGATGCACAAACTGGACAAATTGTAACTCTTCAGAACAATATTTGTTTTTCTTCAGAAGCTAAGATTTTTAAGTGTAAATAATGGAGAATATTAATAGAATAACATATACACACTCTAATTAATTTTATATAAAAGGACTGTCATATTTAAGCTGCTAAGCATCAGATAGATATGAGATAAAATAAAAATAATAAATTATTTGAAATATTTGGGGACAAAAGACAAAAATTTAGTTTACCAAAAGTAAACTATAAAATTAAAATTTTGAAAGTAAAATCGATTGGATCTAGATTTCTTTAAATAAAGAAATAAAAATAATGATCCATCAAAAATGTCCAGTGCCAAATCAGTCTTCAGTAAATCCAACACAAACCTAAAATTCTAATCTCAATCATCAAATTGAGATTGAATATCAATCATCAAATTGAGATTGAATATCAATCATCAAATTGAAACTTATAATTTCATTTTTAAATTAGTGCCTATTAATCACCAAATAAAAGTATCCACTTAAGAGTCAGCACTGATTTTATTGGTTTACCAAAATAAGAATAATAGCATTTAGATCTGCTTCTATGCATTATAAATTATACTAAGTTAAAAATACGTAACTGATAACTGTATTTAACAACATTAATTTGTATGGCTAAAGTTTGTTAAACTTAAAACTTTCAATTGTCTACGAAATGCATACAGTAATTTAACTTCATAATTATATTTTAAAAATATATCACACTTAAAAATCTAAATAAATTATTGCAACAAACATAGCACCTAATGGCTTAGAATTCATTAGTAATTTTGGTTTCTTTCAACGAGGTATACGATATGTTTATCAGACTTTTATACTGCTAGAAGGTATTTTAGGAGGCGGTTTAAATGTTACATAGGTATATAAAATACTTCCTATCACAGATAGATTAATTCCTACGAAATTATTAGTAGAAAATATATAATCACCGCCAATAAACATTCCTAAGTAAGTTACTAAAATATTTTTTAAACAACCTATAATGGTTGTGGTAAGAGCAGAATTGTGTTGAGTACAAAGAATTATTGAATAATTTAAAATGAAACCCATCCCACAAGAAAGAAAGAACTGTAGCAGAAAACCTGGATCGTTCCAAGTAGGATAATCAATTGCTATTCTTAAATCACCAGTTTGCCACATAATTAAAAAAGAAAATGGTAACATAAATAAGGCACAATAAAACATAATTCCGTACTTACCAAGTTCTTTATAAGATCCGAGAATCTTTTTTGTAAATACCCCATTAGATGCAGTAAGAAAATCTGAAAGTAGAACAAATAGATATCCTTGGAAGTTAAAACCTAAATCAGTGGTAGCGGCAATACAAGCACCGAGAATCATGAGTGCTACAGATATTTTAACAGGTAGTTTTGGTCTAACTCCAAGAATCCAGAACTCAGCAAACATTGTCATCAAAATTGAAAACCTCCTTAACATAGTAAACATGGGCAAACTAAGTTCTTTGGTACCCCCTAGTCCAAATACCATATTAGAAATATAAATAAAAGGTAAAGGTAAGAGTTTATAAAATGTTTTTGATTCAAAATCAGAGAAATTTACAACTTTTAAATGTTTGGATGTATATAGAACTACAACTGTGGTCAACATTTGTCCAAAAGCTAGCATTTGAAAACTAGGAAAGTTGTAACTAGTTAAAACACTTTTGTTCACAACAGTTATCATAAAAGAAGATACGCCATAAAATAATGCACTAGAAACTTTTAACCATGAAGTAGAAGGTTTATCAGTTTGTTCTTCAATCAATGGTTCCTTATCACTTGATGTTATTTCTATAGAAGTCATTTTGATGCTAGGTAGAATATGTATATTTGAACAGTAAGTAGTTGTCTTGAAATGATTTATACTTCCTAATGTAAAATGACTGCTTTAACATCATGTTTCACAGATAAGAAATTTCCATTTTCCTTTCATTTCTTGAGATGTCTAAAAAAATAAAATAAAAAATCTTAACAATAAAAATTATATTACAATGACATTAAAAAATAAAATTAGAAATTAATAAATGATAAAAGAATTAGTCAAAAGTTAATGACAAACAAAAGTACTTCACAAAAATAGGCTCTACCTGTAATTTGATGAGTACAAAAATCTATATAGAGGGACATAAAAATATGCTGTGAAGGGCATTTCGATAACCTAAGCAAATTTCACGACAAATCAACTTCCACCGTAACTGAATTCGATAACCGAATCCTTAACTGATAAGCCACTACATTGGACGAGTGACCGCTGACTGCTACTCGTAAGCACCACAGCTAGCGTTATTTTACTTACGCCTGTGCTATAAACCGATAAAAAATTTAAATAATTCAATTGTATAAAAAAACAGACCTTTTGATGTTAGCAATAATTTAAAGAAATAACAATTTAAATTATTTTCTGAATCAAAACAAATCATTTTCTTTGTGGTTGATTGGGGCGCTTTGAGTGGTGAACTTTACAAACTTTACTGTCTTTTACTGAAATCGAAACTTGGGCCGAGAGGAAAAGGTTTCTGATCTTAATAAGTTCGGGTGGGCATTACGTTTACAATGGTGTGATAGTACTATTATAATTACGGTTATCATTAGAAAAACACTTATTTGGTCACGTTTTTAACATAATATGGAAAGGTTGAATTAGTGATAGTATAAGTAAGGACAGTGTTTGATGCAGTTTCTTAATTTGTAAGTATAATAAAAACTTTTATTCTCATCAAATATATTAAAAATTTTAGATTGCGAATTTTTGATACCTAAGCCTTTAGAGTATTATGTATGTATATATATCTATATATTCATAGATATGTGTGTGTGCAAACGTACATATTATTTATATACATGTTTAATTTTTAATGTTTAATGGCTAGTAAATGTAATGTAACTTCCGAAATTTTTAATTGTTTGTAACTTTTATTATTAATTTTTATTTTTACTATTTGAAATGTAAGTGATGGATTAGATATATGCAGTGATTGTTCATCCTTTAAATTAATTTAAAAAGTTATTTGAATTACTTAAATTTATTTTAATTTAGAATTCCTTAGATTATAGCAAATTCTTCTGAAATAATATCAGGTTACATTTTAAGAATTAAACATGTTTAAAAATGTTTTATAATTTTTTTAATGCTATCAATTTATTTTTTAAATGTTTAAAAACCATAAAATTTAAAATGTTCACATTATCTCTCTCTTTGTGTTATATATCTTGTTCTTTCCAAAAAATGTCCACATTTTTATTCACTTTTTTTTATTTTGTTGAAATAATACTATCTGACTTTGACAACTGTTAAGGAAAGACTGATAAACAATTGACAACTGTCAAGGGATGACTGACAAACAAAGGTAGGTAACAACCTGTTACCTAATTACCATTACTGTTATCTCTTCTCTTTTATTGGTTATTTAAGAATTTTTACTTTCACTTACGTGTATATGTAACGTATAGTAAGGGTAAGTATTGCGATCGTGAATCTCAATTTTCAACGGAAATACATGTTTTGGGGAACCCTAGGTCCTAATATCCAAGTCCCGAAAAATGGTCTGTATGTTCGTGTCTGTGTGTGTGCATGTTAGCAGTCTAGCTGAAAAACGAAAAGTCGTACGAAACTGATATTACGTATTTAAAATAGGTATATAACTGAGATGTTACAGCAACTTTTCTCATAAAATCGGCTGACCGGAAGTACCACATTATATCAATGGTCATACTCATTTTTACAATTTTCTCAAAAACGGCTCTAACGATTTTGATTAAACTCGATGTATCATTGTATAATTAAGTGGTTTTCAATATCATTTAGGCCTTATACTCGCTGATATTGATATAGGTCTTATACACTTTACAGGGCTTAAATGCCCAATGTTCAACATGTCTTCCTCTAAAGTACCTTTAATTTGGTTTGTTTTAAATAATTATCTATCTCTCATTGTTACGAGTTACGAAAAAATGCTAAATATAACTTTTGAAAGAATTTGATTTTTGAAAAGTGGAGAAAAAAGGGGAAAAGTTTATTTATGTCGAAAATGAATCTCCGGATATTAGAATACTAGACTGAAGGTATATATATAATATATTGTTGGAAATCGGAGAGTTTTTGAAAAAAAAAAAATCTAATATAGAAAGTTGTAGAAGGTAATGGAGACAGACAAAAAATTACGAATAATAATTTTAGAAAACTTATATTATTTAACGGAAGTTACATGTTTTAAATGAAATTTACTTACTAAATGTAAACTTTTAAAATATTTTCTGGTTTAAAAAAATGTTTAAAATCCATCTAGCAATGACATTGTTAAAAAAACTATTTCCTTGTAAAAGAAGTGAAATATTTCATACATTTCAATAAATACATACATTTCATGGATGTATAAAGCATATTTTATAACCTTAAATACATTTACCGTAGTTAAATAATTCTAGATTTGATATTATGTTTAAATAATTAGGTATTAACGTCTGTTTATTCCGAAGAATCGCCATGTAACCCTTTAGAAAATTAGGTGAAATTATATTAGTGAATAATTTGATGAATTTTCTCTTTTTGAAATCCCAACATTATCTACTTAAAATTAGTATGGCAACTTTTGACCTATCTATTGCAGGGAATAAAAATCTCTTAATTTAATTTTAGTAAACTATACAATGGAAAATATCATGTTTTATTAGTTTGATAACTAACAGGCGTACAGTCCATTATCATTTATAGGTTGAATATACTGATATACTTTCAAACCTCCCGAGGCAGAGGCGCCCGCCCATCCCCACCCTCTCCCAAGGTCTATGGCGCAAGAACCAACCCGGTCCCCTCTTCCCAAGATATTTTATAACTCACTTTTCTTAAAAACAGAAGAAACTAATTTAGAATAAAAAAGTTGTCGATCATATACAATTACACTACTGAGCGGTCAGTTCTATGTTTCCTCAATGTCCCTTAGTCCGAAAATTTATAATCTCGTCGAAATTTTCTCCCCTCAAAAATTCAAAATATGCCTCTCTCAAAGATATTGATGGAGCATGCACATGAAACCCTCTTCTGGGCACCGTATATATTTACCGTCACAGGCGGATCTACGGGAAGGAGGGAGGGCTGCTGAAGCCTCTTCCCAAAATGGTAAAACATAACCATGTTTTATGAAAAAAATGATCTCTATAAGTATTATTGTTGGTCTAATACTTAAAGAACTTAAAGAATTACTTAAACACCATTTCATATAGGTACTTAATTTCTTTCTTGCTTCCGAAGTAATTATCGTAATATAAACCTACAATAAAAAAATCTTTCGGGCTGAAGCCCCCCAAAATAAAATCCTGGATCCGTTAGTGCCTACCGTTGATGTAATTAATAGGGTTTTTGTTATTTTAATGGTCTTGATTATTTGTCAGCTGCAAGCTTTAAGCTGTAGCTCCGTTAAAAATGCACTAAAAAAATTTTATAATCGCCCAACATTGCTAAAAAATAATTTCTATTCAAAGTAGAGCGCAAAGTGAAAGTTATGTGTTGTACGCACCAGATTTTTTACTTTCACTTACCTATATATAGATATATAGTATGGGATAGTGTTTCGATCATAAAAATTTTCGAATCCGAGTTTTCAATGGAAATACACTATTTGAGCAGTGCCGTTCTTAGATATTCAGTGCTCTCGGACAATGACGTCACCTCCCTCTCCAAAAAATATTAATTTATTTCTTAAGCTGTTTAATATTATGTATTGTTTCAGTTTTATAATAACAACTTTAGGCAGTTGTTTTGAGGTCCCTCGAGTCCAAATAACCAAGTCTCTTAAAATGGTCTGTGTGTGTGAACAGTCCAGCTCAAAACCGAAAAGTATTACGAAAATGAAATTGCGTATTTAAGATTTGTATATGTTTGGGATGTTACAGCAACTTTTTCGTAAAAATTAGGAAACAGGAAGTGGCAAATTATATCATCGATTTAACACAATTTTACGATTTTCTTGAAAACGGCTCTAACGATTTTTATTAAACTAGGTATATCAGTGTATTATTAAGTGCTCTTTAATATCAGGTAGGTCTTAACCACATTGATATTGCCTTACAGGCCTCAAATGCTCAATGTTCAATATTTCTTCCTCTAAAGTACCTTTAATTTGGTTTATTTAAAAAAATTAACTCTTTTTTATAGACTGTAGCGCAATAAAAAATGGCTAAATATAGAGTATGAAAGAATTTGATAATTCTCTATAAGAGATAAAAAGGAAAAATGTTTTTTTAGGTTGATAATGAATTTCCGGAAACAGCAGACTGGATTTATATTTATAATATATCGTTAGAAAACTGAGAATTTCATAAAAAAATAATTTATAAACTACAAAGTCGTACAAGGTGTGTTGAATGTGAAGGTGTAGAGGGTGACAAAAAAGTTATAAATAATAATTTTCATAAATTAATATTATTAACGGAAGCCACATGTTTCCAAGGAAATGAAATTAAATTTCTTAACTAAATGTGAACTTTTAAAATTATATTTAAGTTTGAAAAAGTATATGAATTACCACCTCATCAAGCCAATGACATGGTTAAAAAATTATTTCATTGTACTTGTGTTGAAGAAGAATATTTCATGGATTTGTAAAACATATGTTAATAACCTTAAATACATTGACTGTAGTTTCATAACTCTAGATCCATGATTATGTTTAAATATATATGTATACATCTTCGATTTATTCTAAAAAAATTTTCCTTTGTGAAATCACAATATTATAATATTAAAGATGACGAATTTTGACCTATCGATACTGTATTTTGATTAATTTTTCAGGTGTGAAAAATAAG